AAAATTATTTGGTGGATAGACAGTTTAAATACAAATTTTGAGGTAGTAAACAGATGAAAGTTATTTGGTGGATAGACAGTTTAAATACAAGTGTTGAGGTAGTAAACAGATGAAAGTTATTTGGTGGCTAGACAGTTTAAATACAAGTGTTGAGGTAGTGAACAGATGAAAGTTATTTGGTGGATATACAGTTTAAATCCAGGAGTTGAGGTAGTAAAAGAGACTTCAGTGATATATATCTTTGAAGTGATTTATTTTATAACTAGTTGAAACAAGAATGGTTACTAACTGACAAGTTTGTTAACCTTATTCCTCTGAAGATGACCTATGAAATGCCATTGGATGTCTTTACATTTCTCTAGCACCTGAAATAACCAACAGTTAAAGATATTACAAAAACATATGCAAATCACTAGATTAAGAATGTGAAGTATAATACAAAACTAGCTTATCAAGTAACATTAAGCTTGAGTAAAATAAAACCTTCAGCTTGTGTTAATTACAAGAACTATCAATATAAAATAATATTTTAAAGAAATTACTAAGTTGAATAAATAACTTATTTCAATCTCACCTCTGGATCTAACGCCTTTTCTCTTAACTCCTGAATCTGCAAACAAACATTATTTCATTTTCTGCAAAGTGTTAATAAAAAGCAAACATTACATCCAAAGACAGAATCTTCAAAAACTGATTTAGACTTTTCATTAAACTTCACTTAACAAAATAGTAGTTCAGCAAACTAATGGATTATAAACTAGAAGATCTTAGTTTTAAATTATTTTTTCTCATAATCAGGAAAACTAAAAATTGATATCACATTCTCTGAACTTAATATGAATAACAGAAATGACACCAAGGTTTCAAGCTTTAGGTTAAAAAATGGCATAATGTATGATGTATCGTAAATACAACTGTCTACCGAAGATGGTGTAAAACAAGTTTTAATGATCACATCAGCAAGTCACTAGAGCTGGGAGACTAATATTTACTCATTGATTAATTGTTGGGCTCATTAATTAATTATATTTAAATAATTGATTATTTTCATGAGGCTTGGATAGTCTGAATGATCAAAAATAGTAATAATCCAAAACACTAATTTCTATTAGTTGAGTATTTTTATGAGTCATGACACTAATTGATTTAGAGGAAAAAATTTGAATAAAAAATACTAATGATAAATTATAATGGCAATATTTAAATTACTTGGATAGTTGGAATAATTGAAAACTGTAATGACTGGGAACATTAATTACAATTAATTTATTATTTTCATGATATTAATTGTGGTTTTTTATTAATTCATTTGGCACTAATCAAGGTTTAAGTTTTCTTATATAACCTCATAAGTTTCTAATTTTTCATCTTAGTTACCTTTCTTAAATAATATATAACAATAAATAAAAAATATACTTAACATCAAAGAAATTTTGCACTTTAGCCTTGAAACCTAGTTGTACTTGAGACCATATCTTGTTAGGACTACTTTTTCACTCTATGTTGGTTTTTCACACAATAATTCATGTAACTTTCAAATGTATAAAGTTATAACAGGCATTAGCACAGAATGTCCCAAAACTAATATAATTTATGCAGCTCTCTAATTAATCTATAAGTAGGTTAAAAAATTCTATTACTTCTTGGAGCAATGTTTTTAGTCTACACACATCAAGCTCTCACTATTTTGAACAATAAAATGAAATAGTAAATCATTACATTTTAGTAGTTTAGAACACACTCTTTCTTTCAGTTATATATAATGTCCAGTAACAATGCCAGAGAGAATTATACACATTTCTTAAAAGACAGAGGATATGGGATGGGCGTGTCAACATGGGTTGAACAAATATAGTGATATTATATATTCTGGCTTGTCACTATATATATATATATATAGCGTTTGTTTCTAACTGGTTGAACAATCTGAATCCCTTATAAGGGAAAGAAAAAAAATCTATAAATGAAGTCAGTTGCCACCAAGTCATGGGAATCAGAGGTGCAAATTAAGAACTTATTTAAACATTTCCTTTTCACAATTAAGTAGTTAAAACTAGATAATATAAAATATTAATTATATAGTATTTTGGCACTTGTGTATAAAGTTAAAATCATAAATAATATTCAAGGTTAAACTGATACACAATTAAAAACATTTTATTTAGGCCTATCCATGGCCTTCAAAAAGTTGATGACTCTACATGTTTCAACGTTACAACGTCATCCTCAGGAGTGAATTATAAGACAATTTATAAACTATGTTTTGACTGCGTATTTAATAAAATACATTGATAATAAAGTAGTTTGGTTATATATTGAATGTAACTATAAAAGTTGTGACATGCACACTTTGGTACTCCCATATTCTTAGGGTTAATCGAACTGAATGCCCAGATCTACAAGTCAAGTGAAAAAAAAAAGCCAATATAGAGTTGCATTGGAACAGATTGTATCAGAACTACATTTTGAGATTGTTTGTTGTTCCATAAGTAGTTTGATGCCACCAAAAATTGATCACTTTTGGGAAGGGTAGGTAACAACCCTTTCTGAAACAAAATATTCATACACTCAAATCATAAAAACGTGTTATAATTGGTGATTTAGAGTTTCTAAGAATGGGGATATCCTTTATATCTAACAGCATTGAGAAACAAAGGAACGTGAATTAACTTGGTGCACCAGGATCATCTATAGAGAGACCTGAAACAAGTGTGGTGTCTATTAACAGTTGAGAATCCACAAACACAAAAACCAACAGCGAAAGCCATCCGTGTGCCTAAGGCAACAGTATACAACATATACAGATATATCTATTACACATCTTCTTACTATAATGAACGTAGCATGTATGTCAGTATCTATGTATGTAACCAAAACTCCTGCATCATCTATTGAATGGCACCACAAACAAAAATTCATAAGACATTTCACACTTTGGATATTCAAGATCCAGACAAATAGAAAAATAACTGTGGTATGTGCAACAACCATTTCTTTGTAACAAAACACAATTAAAAGTACTTTCCTCACAATAAGAACACAACTTTCAATAGGACTGTATTATATCTTTATTGATGTAATTTTTAAATGTATTACTGAGAAACTAGAGTTCTTAAAAACTATTATTTTTCAATAAATGGTTCCACTTTTAATATATAAAAACATTACAGTTTGTATCAGTAAAATTTATGAAAAGTTTGAGCTCTGTACATTGAATCATTTTGATGCAATGAATTGAGAGCACAATCTAAACACTTTTCTCATGCGGCATTTCCCAGAAAAAAAATCCTTTTTTGGAAAATGTTCACTTTTCTAATTTTTTTTTTTCAATGAGATATGAATACTACAGTTAGTAATTACTAGCACAAAACATCTGCAGGGCAGCATTTCTGCTAGTGTAGAATAACATCAGGTCTCAATTAACAACTTTCGTTTTCCTCTCCAGAAATTTCAAAAAAAATTTCCTCTTATAAAGAAAAAACCTTGATGCTGATTGATTAAACTATTTCATTGGATAATTATTTAATGTTTTTGATAAAATAGATATTGTACATTTATGTTGTTTTTATGTTTGATTAGCGCTATATGTATATGTTTGAAAATATACTGAGGTGGGGGTCACTGAAACTATAACTACAGGCTAGAATGGAGGTTACTGAAACTATAACTACAGGCTGGAGTGGAAGACACTGAAACTATAACTATAGGCTGGAGTGGAAGACACTGAAACTATAACTATAGACTGGAGTGGAGGTCACTAAAACTATGACTATAAACTGGGGTAGAGTCACTGAAATTATAACTAAAGGCTGGAGTGGAAGACACTGAAACGTTAGCTGTAGACTGGATAAAAGTCACTGAAACTTGAGGCACTTAAACTGTAACTATAAAATAGTGGGGAGTTCACTAAAACTGTAACTACAGGCTGGGATGGAATTCACTGAAACTGTAAATATAGGTTGAGGTGAAGGTCACTGAAACTGTAGCTAGGATGAGGGGTGGAGATTGCTGAGACTATAACTAAGGTACAGAGTAGGTCACTGGGACTGTGTTCAGGCTGAAATGCAGGTAAGCATGACTGCTAAGTTGGCCTTGAGATCATTAAAACTAATTAATTAGCAAAGAAATATAGTCATTTATGTCAAATACCAAACACATCACAGCTAAACTACTTAATAGTGTGATGTACTTACATAGTTTTCTCCAAAATGTCTTTGACCCCATTCATATGCAACAACAACCATTTCTTTAGGCTTTGTCTTACTTACAGCTACCAAGCGAGGTTTCTTTCCAGCAATATTCTGTAAAGTAAATGAATATCACTTTTAAAGAGGAACACTAATTTACACCAACATCTCAACCCAAAAAACTCTGGTTATTCAAATAAATAATAATTTCTTTCTTGGAGTTGTTAATTTGTGGAGTAGTTTGCCTGATGAATGTGTGTGCTGATACTTTTTATCTTCGTTTTTTACAAAATTAGGTAAATAACAATTATTTTTTCCTAAAGACAAATCCTTCTAGGTATCATACCTTACCAACAACATAATGACATTAACTATAATGAGTTTTATAACACAAAATTTAAAGACAAACAATTTACATATTAGGTCATCCTATTAATTGAAAGAAAAAATAAAAACACCTCAAACCAGCCCCAAATATCTATCAAGCATTCCTTCAAACACCTTAAATTGACTGCATCCACCACATCTAAAGGCACCGCATTCCAAAGGCCAACCACCCTATTAGAAAAATAAAACTGTCTTAGCTGAAGATGACTTCTACCTTGCAAAAATTTAAATGTGTCCCCTAGTCCTACAATTCTCACCATTAAGCATGAAAAAAGATGATGCATCAGCACCATCAATTCCCTTAATGATCTTAAACATTTCAATTAGATCCTCCCTAACTCTTTTCTAAAGAGAAAATAATTTGAAATCGTAACCTGTCTTTGTATGACCACCTTTCAATCCCAAGTATCATCCTAATAACCCTCTTCTGAACCTTTTCTAACAATTCAATGTTCTCCATAAGGTAAGTAGCACAAGACTGAACACAATACTCCAAATGTGGCCTAAACAGTGACCTACACAATGAAATTATAACCTTAAAAGACTGATCAACTAGAACACCAAGATCATTTTTTCTCATAACTCTCTTGAGGTTACCCCATCAAACTTATAATTATAATTAAAATTACTGTTACCCATATTCTGAAACTGTAACTAGTCTGAGATGGAAGACACTGAAACTGTAAGTGTAACTAAGCTGAGGTGGAGGTCACTCATTATTTAAGTCAGTTGAAATATAGCTTCTCTCCTACTTACTTCTCTATTTTCCATTAATCTTTTCTGAATTAAAATACATTTCTAAATGATTTGCTTGCTTTCATTACTTTATTATAATTAAAAGCCATCTGCTATTTATTCACTCAACTCACCAAATGATCTAAATCCTTTTATAAAACAGCAATATCCTCCTCACAGCCAGAAACACTCAAAAACTCAAAACTGTCAGCAAATTTAAGTAATTTATAGATCATTCTTTCATCTCTGTCATTGATATAAATCAAAAAGTATACTAACACTGAGCCCTGAAGTACTCCACTTGTGACATTAATCCAATTTAACTGAAATCATTCTGTTTCTTTATAACATCCCTCTGCTTTCTTCCATCTAGCCACTCTCTTATCCAGTAACTTGAGTAAGTCAACTTATCCCCTATACCTATACTATAGAGATATTTTCCACTGAAATTCCAGGATTCTGTTGATTTATAAAGGAAACCTCCAACCAGTTATTCATATTTATAGCTCTGACACAGAAATATTAGATTTTGTTATAGAAACACTAAAACCTTCACTCAGTATGTAATTTATTGTAATGTAAAGAGATATTCACGTTACGCAGGTAACATCTTACCGCTGGTCTTTTTTCTGTGGCATTTTGTATTCTGCCATAAACATTCTTCAGCACACTACCTATGTCTAAGTCCTTTATTCTCTTGTACATGTCAAGCAATTGTTGAATAACGACTGCAATTTGAAAAGTGAGACAATATCACTCACATACCTCAAAACAACAATAAGTGAAAAAAGGGTACACAAACCGAATACCATTGGCAACAGCAATAGTGGCTCACCCTCACTGCTGTTGTATATGAAGGGTTTAAAAAATATTGATAAAAAGGAAAACAGTTTAAAAATTTTAAGAAAATATTGACTAAATTTATTTGTAGAGTGGTGGACTTAATTAGTGTTACTGTTAGTAAGAGTATTGAAGTCCGTACTTCCTTTCCATTATTTGTTCTGTTCACCACAAAATTTATTATTATAGCTAATAATACAAAATATAACTTTATTTATTGTGTGACTAAATATATAATCAGAAAAGTATGAATATTCAAACTGTATTGAAATACTATAAAAGTAGATAACTCTACAACTTGTTTGCAAACAATAGCGCAAGAGTGGGCGATGGTCGTTGTCGAATGGATCCCTACCCTGGGATCGGCAGTTCAAAATTTACCACAGAAGGTCATGGTGAGCTTTATTAAAACCTGTACTAAGATGGTATATCCGTTCTCCATAATAAAACAAGACAATCCTCCGTAAGAACCACGTTTCATTTTATACTGTGGTAAGGAACTCTACAGACCTGAGTTCTTCTGTAACATAACCTTATCCAACCATAAACTTGACCATGCTGCTGTCTAACTGACCTGGTAACCATTTGAAAAGCAACATTGGCTATAGTCTGATATGATCGTTTGGCCAATGTGTCGTATTTGATTATACCTACTACCAGTATGTTTAAGAGTATTCGTATCATATACACAGTAGAGATCGTTGATCAATATTCCTCTCAGAATCTGTTATTATACATCTTTGTCAGATTTATATCAACCAAAAATACCTTAAATCGGAATTAACATGGAGAATTGTGATCAGTATGACGGTACTGTTTTATGAATAATTAATTTTACATCGACGAAATTAAATAATTTGAAAACTTTTTATTTCATAACTCCCGTAACGTGAACAGCAAATTATTTAAAGCGTTCTTTATTATTATGTGAACAAAAATGAAAGAAGTACAATTTGACGACCTTTTTTGATATTGTTACGTATCTGCTTGATTGTTTGTTTCCGGTAGAAATTATTTTCGAGGATCTTCAGCGAAACAAGTCCTTTCATGATTAAACC